CTGAAAAAAATGGCAAGAATTCTTCAAGGAATTACAACATTTAAAGGCTGAGTTCCACTTGCTATGCCTTTAAAACTCCCACTCCAAGTCTTCCCTATCTTGAGGTTGTGTGGGAAGGATCTTTCCAGGCCAACAACATTCCCCCTGTTAAAAAAAACACCCAACAAAACCCAAGCAGCTTTGCTGAGGATGAGGATGACTTCCCATCCTGTTCTGTGAGCCTGTCACTCAGCAGAGCCCTCTGGTACCTGCTGAAATCCATCCCTGGTGGCTCCAAAATTTGCTTCAAAGAGGAAGGGACCAGCCCTGCCTGCACTTTTGGGATGCTCAGGCTCCCCATCCACAAGGTCAGGGAGAGAGGATAGTGGGAAGGAGAAAGGACAGTGGGAGGGACAGAGGTTTCCTGCTGGAGGACTCACCTCAGCAGCCACCCTTGGTTTTGTTCAAAAACCCCACCAACACTCAGAGCAAAAGGAGGAGGTGGAGGCTGCCCTGGCAGGTGCTGGTTCACAGAATTCCAGAATCACTGGGTTGGAAGAGACCTTGAGTCCAACCCAGCCCCAACACCTCAACTCAACCCTGGCATCCAGTGCCACATCCAGGCATTTTTTAATCCAGTCTTCTTTCCTCATGGATGGAGGACAGCCTCCAGCCCTGGAATCACTGCAGATCCAAGCTGGGAGATGTGTCACACTCCAATCTGTGCAACTTGGCTCCACAGGAGCTGTGGCACCCGTCAGCTTTTCCACCACCCCTCAGATCCCTGGCTGCCACACCAATCCCCTTTTAAATCCAACATGTGATTGACTCCTACATGGTTTTTTATCCATCTCTTGGAGCAGCCAAGCAGCATCCTGCTCAGCTGAAAGCTATTCAGCTCCCTCCACACTGTGAGGGAAGCTCGTGGCCTTTTTTGCTGGTGGTGGCCAAATATGTGTGTAATGTGCTTAGTCCTCTCCAGCCCACACAGAGAGAGACCCTGCTCCTCTCCTGAACCTGGGTGTAACACGTTCCCTCCACCATCGGCCAGGCCAGCTCCAGACTAATATTTTCTGTTCACTTAATTACCACAGGACAAGTGCTGCACCCCCGTGGAAATTTGCCACTTGAAAAACTGCCTAAAAATATATCCTGCAGTAAAAACGTTTCTCTGTGTGATTGAGCGCGCGCGCGGCCTGTGCTGCGCAGAGGGTTTCCCAAAAAACAAACGAGGCCTCTTGGCAAGGCCTCGCTGGTTTTTTAGCAGTTTATCAGCTTGTGTGTTATTTACGAAGGGCAGGAGTTACTCCAAACTTCCCATTTAAACTGAAAATTCCAAAAGCCTGAAAGGATGAGGAGCCGTAAAGGTGAAAAGAGGAGGATGAGGTGAGGCAAAGAGTTTTGTTCTCCAAGGGAATAATGTTCCAGGGGTTAGGATATGTTGCTTGGACTATGAAAATTTGGGTCAAATCCTCCTTTTGCTTCAGTCTTCATGAACTCTGTGGGTACCTCATTGCTGGAGCGTGACCACCTCGGTGCCGGGGGATCTGGTGCACTGACCACAAGGAACGAGTGAATTTTGGACCACAGGCAATGTGAGACCATCCCAGGCTGCCACTGCTGAGCAGAAGGTCATACTACTGCTATGAATCACAGAATTAGGGAATTGTAGAATCATAGCACGGCTTCAGTTGAAAGGGACATTAAAGATCAGCTGGTTTTACCCTCCTGCCATGGCAGGGACACCTTCCACTGTCCCAGGCTGCTCCAGCCCCAGTGTCCAACCTGGCCTTGGGCACTGCCAGGGATAGAGGCACAGCCACAGCTGCTCTGGGCACCTGTGCCAGGGCCTGCCCACCCTCACAGGGAAGAATTTCTTCCTAATATTTAATCTAATCCTACTCTCTTTCCTTTCTCTTTCCCCCCCTTGTCCTGTCACTCCAGGCCCTTGTGAATATTCTGTTTTCATCTATATTGTCAGCTCCTCCAGGCCCTGCCAGGCCACCCTGAGCTCAGCCCAAAGCTTCTCCTGTGCAGGTGAACAATCCCAGCTGTGCCAGCCTTTCCTGCCAGCAGAGCTGCTCCATCCCTCTGCTCATCCTGGAGCCTCCTCTGGGCTCTCTGCAGCAGCTCCAGCTCCTCCTGGGCTGGGACAGGGCTGGGGCAGCTCTGCAGGTGGGACCTCACCTGAGCAGGGCATGGGGCGCAATTCCCATCCCTTTCCTGCTGCCCAGGCTGTGGAGCAGCCCAGGTCAGGGTTGGTTTCTGGGCTCCAGCACTCATCGCTGTCCTGCTTTAAAGCCAAAAAGAATCCCACTCTCCAAAACAGCACTGAGGCCCTGTTCCAGAGCAGATCTGGGAGTGGGATCACACCTTTTGACGGGCTTAAGCTGCTGGATTAGTCTGAGCCTTGTTTAACCTGCCTGCAGGAGCTCTGTGTGTGTGCAGCCCTGGAGGGGGTCCCAGCCCCGCTGGGGAGGGGGTCCCGCCGAACGCACGGCTCAGCTCCAGCCAACGCTGCCTGCTGCACTTGATGGCTTGCAGATTTCTCTGAGAGAATATTGTGTAGCTGGCAAAAGAAAACACAAGGAAGGAAGGAAGCAGCATGGATTTCAGCCCTTTTACTGTTTGCCTTGTCTTTTCCCAAGCAGGCAAAGACATCTCGCCGTGCCAAAGACCCGACGCGGCGTAAGGACGAAACATCACGCGGATCACTTGATCGCAGAGCAAATTTCAGTGTAGGACTTTGTATTTCCTCTTCAGACAGACTGCTGCAGATTGAAGGGCATAAGAGCAGCTGTGTGAAAACCAGAGCACCCCCCTGCAGAAGCAGGTTCCCGTAAAATCTCTCCCAGCGTGCATCGTCTCTGAGCTGGATTCCTCTGAAGACAAGAAAGGACCATTGCAATGGCACCCTCTGAGACAAATTAGCACAATTCCACCCTGTGCTCGTACAAGACTCTCGGTTCTGTGATCTGCCAGGGCTGCAGCGCAGTTAACCTCGGGAACAGGGTTTTATAAAGGTGCTAACTGGTGTTTCACAGTGCCCCTGCGGTGTTTCGTTTTCATACGAGGCCCTGTTTGGAGGAATGCTGTGTGAGCATTTACTGCAGTTCCAGGGGCTGTTTGATCAGCCAGAATGGGTCCTCTGGGCAGCATTTTGGAAAAATAATATTTAAGAATTGCACTTTATAAAAATTCCGAGGATGTATATCCTGAATTGTCGAACGTCAGCACAATGCTGGTTTGAGAAACATTCTTGTCCTCACTTTAAATTGTGATAAAAGAACACAGAAGGAAACGCAACTGCACAACTTAAAACAGTGACACTTTTTAACAGGGTTCCCACAGTTTTCTATATACCATGGAACAAGGATTTTGAGGTGGGCTGTTTTTATTTTATTTTATTTTATTTAACCCAAAGACACCTTCCTTCCAGAATCAAATGTATCAGGCTTTTATAAGTAACCACTGCCAGGGAGAAATGGTGTCTTCCTGCAGGGTATATCCATATGGAGATTTTGGAAAGGATTCATGAAAAAGACCCTGTTTGTTTGCCCCCAGCCCTCCTCACAGCTCAGCACTGTCACCTCCCACAGAGGATGCACAAATGGAATCCTACAGGAGTCTGGGCACTTTGGATCATTTTCCACAGCAATTCAGAAGTCCCCACTTTCTTTTCCTTGGCTGTGGATTTGCCACAGGGCAGGGAGAAAGGAGAAACTGAGTGTGTCCATGGCTCCCAACCACATTCAGTGAAGCTCTTAAAGGTTTGGGGTTTTTCCCCCCAGGTTTTAAAGGTTTGGGGTTTTCCCCCTCAGGTTTTAAAGGTCTGCCTTTGGTGTCCTGGCTGTATTCCAGCTTGTGTGATCTTTCCTCCTGACCCACAGCCCTTTTTCATTTTCAGCTAAATAAGCTATTCCTCATTTTCTGTCTGTTTACCTTCGCTGCATCCTGTTAGGGACTCCATCTGTGAGGTGTGGAGCTCTCCTGGGATATCCCAAATGCAAAAAAAGGTAGCAAAAGCCTTTGGTTCCAGTAAATGTTACCAAAAATTTTCCTTGTTTTGGAGCTAGAAGAATAGTGGGACAAAAATTTGAGTAGGGGTGTCCTCTGCTCACTATGAACTTGTGCTCCTCTGAGCTGATGGGAAATTTTATCCCAAATCACAGAGGTGGCGTTAGTAAAAAAAAAGGATTTTCTTAGGAGAAGTTTTGGTGGCAATAGCTTGCCAAGAGTTAGGCGGGGTTTTCTGTCATTCCAAAATTGCCATGACCTCAGGCACTGACCTTTCCTTGGACTTTGCTGGTAGCAGGCAGCTTTCCCAGCCAAGGGGATTTAGGTGCTGAGCCTGCTGCTGCTCTCCTTTTGGCTGATGATCTGCTCCCTCACTCTGGTGGGCTCCGTGCCATGAGCAGTGTGGATCCCTCTGCTCTGGGCTGTCACTCTTTGGCCTTTGCAAAGGCCACTGTTCCTTCCTAACCCTCAGGTCTCCTGAACAAGCCTTTAGGTGGAGATTAAACCAGTTTTCCTGCTGAAATACACACCACTTTTCCCTCTGCCTCATGCTTGAAGCTCTTTATGGTGCTACTTCTTCTGTCGTTTTTTTTGTTTGTTTAATTGGGGTTTTATCATTTTTTGTCCTCCAGCCTGCAGTTAGGTCAGTGTCAGGACTTTGTTAGCAGAGACACCTCAGTTGCCCAAAACATCCTCACTGGCCAGGAGCTCCATTTAAGCTCAGCCTGGGCTTCAGATCATCTGGATTCAAGAATTTCCGTGTTCTTTGGATGGGTCTCTCCCAGCAGATATTTGGCCTCTTACCATTAAATTAATCTCAGGTTTTAGGAAAGTCTGCATACAGAAGCTACTTATTTTAAGACTTCCAGGATTCATCAATGGTGCTAACCTCAGATCCAGGGTCTTGCAGTCTGTAGGCACAATTCCAGGGAATCACTGACCACCAGTGCAGGACAGATTCCTGTTTGCTACTGTCACAGGTGATGGAGCAACCTCCTGGAAGAGGTGACTCTGAGAATGTGACCTGAAAGCAACAAGGAGGATAATTAAGCTTAATATCCTAAAAAGACCCCACCAGCTTCGTTATCTCTTGAAGTCACTGTAAATTGCAAACACCTCTGAGAAAGGAATAACCTGTTTCACATTGAGGTACTAATCTCCTGGAATGATCTGTAGGAAAGGAAACCAATGGAAAAAACATTCTGGATAAAATACATAGTTGAATATCTAAGGTGACTTCATCCCCTGATCCCTAAAATAACAATAAATTAGCCCAAACCAGTAAAAAGCACACAACCTGTGATTCCCACAGGGAGAGAAATATGGGACAACTTCTACTTTAGATTTGTTACCCAGGGCTGAACATGTTCATGTGTCATGGTGAGATTTCTGAGGTACTTCTTCAGAGATGTGGGAGCAAGGTGTTCTAAATGTTTTCATCATCAAGAGATTGAAGCTATTCCATTATCTAATAAAAATTATAAAGAAATAAATTTATTATTATAGTGATATTTGTCTAAAATCTCTAAAAAATCTGGTTTAAGACATTCATTTTAGGATTAACAGGAAGAACATATGGAGATACATGCTTGTGGATCTCAAAGAATATAGAACCTTTTGGTTTTGATTATATTGTATAATAATTGTATCTGATCCAGATTAGTAATAGACGTGCTTGTTAATAATTTTTTTGAAGTCTAAACAAAATGAGTAAGGCAAGTAGTTAACTGCCATCATAACGAACATCATTGCTCTTATTGGTAGTGATAAGACATAACAGATGAAATAGAAAATTTCCTGTCCCATCTCCCAAATCTTTAATGAGATTCCTCCAAGCCATACTCACTAAAGTGTGTTTTCACAAGTGGAGACAAAAATTTTGTGGGTGAGGCCACCAAACTCAAAAGAAGATCCCCTTTTTTGGGCCAAGGATATCATGGTAAATAGCAATACCTGTGATAATGTGACTTTGAAGTTTCATTTCTGATCCAGAAAAGCTTCAACAAGGTCTTCTGGCACCAAAACCCTGTTGAAATAATTTCAAGTTAGGCATGTAAATATTTGGAATGGTCAGGGCCCAAGTTTACGTTTGTTTGCAACTCTGATGTCTTCTGCATTTATACAAAATCTCTCAGTACAGAATTCAGCCTTTGCGAGTGAGGAGTGGCTGGGAAGGAATAGTCCAGGGCAGTGAGGGTGAGACACCTGAGTGAACAGAAAGCTGACACTGATATTAAGATTATCTAATCATCAGCCTCACCTCTTGCCACCAGACACAGCAGCAGACAAAGCAACTTTTCACATGTCTTCATAAGAATTCCAAATTTATTAGTGATTTCTAGATGGTAGCGCAGTAAACAGTTACTAGAGACCTGGAATCTTGAAAGTAACTTGTAAGAAGAATTTCCCTCCATCAAAATCTTGTCCCAGCTGGCCCTGAGCTAGGAAATGCCCAAATCTGGACGCTCTGTTTTCAGTTTCAATCCCTTCTGCTAAGCAGACACCCATGGGTTGGACGATATTTTTGGAAAATATGCTGTTTAAAGCTGGCTGCAGCAAGAAATTAAACAAATAACTCTGATAATGGGAATAACCTCCAAGGCAGTGTATTTTGTGGTGACCAGAACACTTAGAATAATTTACTATTGCATGAAGTGATGCAGCTGGTAAAATATCCCTCTTTTCCACATGGAGAGAGAGGGATGGCCGCAGGAAGCAGCTCTAGAAAGCCGCTTGCGTTCCCCTGTGGCTTGTTTTGCTAAATCAGTTGCAGCAAAAGGAGCCGCTCCAAATGGTGCATTTTTCCTGCTTTGGTTTGTTTTGTACTTGTTCAATAAAACAGATTCCAGAAAATACAGGGTTGTATAATTTTTAATAAGATTTGTTAAAAATAGCGTGGCTGCGGCGAGAGGAATGACCAGAGGAAGCGATTTGTTTCCTGCCATCATTCCTCCCCCCTTCACCAGCGAGCACAAAATATTCACTTAATTTAAAATTCATCACAAGCAGCCAGAGGGTAGCAGGGCTACCACAACCCTCATAAATTACACCCAAGGCTGACCCTTCTGGAAGAGGAGGCCTTGCTGTGCTGAAGGACTCTCAGAGTTTGGTGCTGCTGCCTCCGACCGCAGCGGGACACAAAATACACCGTGGGGAAATACCCAGAGGAGCAGAGGCCAGGCTGGGTCTCTCCATCCATCCACTCCAAACCTCTGCAGAGGTTTAAGCTGGGAAGGAAGCCTTTGCCCACAATGGTTCCTGCCTGTCCTAAAGGGGAACAGCTTTAATGTGGTCGTGGCTCCCACTTGTACCCACATCCCAACTCCTCCACGGCAAACCTGGCTCCCTGGAGGGTCTGGCAGAGCCCCCGTCCTTCCCTCCTGCAGGAGAGCTGCCCTGGCCAGAGCAGAATGGTTTCCAACCCAATTCTGCCCCATCAACTTCTTGTGTGACTGGTATTTCTCATGCAGGACTCCAGCAGGCCCAAGCTGTGCAAATAGCTTTTTTTTTTTTTTCCCCAGCCGTAAAAGGGAGAATCCAAGGAAGGTCCTGCAGAGCACAGTGATGAAATAATCAGCACAACAACCCATATTGCAACTGGGAGTTGCTGGATTAATGCAGTTCTTCCCCCTGACCTGGGGAAGCTTAGTCCCATATCCAGAAAAGATCATTTTTTTCTTCTGAAAGACTTTTCTGCGGGTCACTTTTGCCAGATAGCTTGGCCAGTTGCTCCGTGCTTAGTCCGTTTTAACAATAACAACAGCAACAAAACTTTACAAGATGTTCTTTCCTCTTTGTCTGGAAGGATTAACAGTTCAGCCAAGGTCTGACTGGCCTCTGGCTCCAGGAGGGAAGGACTCAAAGACACTCCGAGGGAGTAGTCACATGGAGAGCCTGGCTACCAGAGAGGGCTTTGGGGATTGTTTTTTATTCTGTGCTCACCCTGACTGGCACTGAGGGCAGGATTGGGCACTTCTGCTCTTGGAGGAGCTTGCTCTGATCGGTCTTCTAGGAAAAGCAAAGTCTGGAAGGCAGATGGACATATTGACATTTCCCCATGAAAAGTCCGCTTCCATGGCTCTCGTTAGCTGGATTGAAATGGCAAATCTTTGGAAATAGCTTGGAAAAGTGTTTTGTCCCTTGGAGAAGTCACAAAATCACAAAACCACAGAACCACAGAGTCACAAAGTATTTAGAGTTGAAGGCACCTCTGGAGATAGCTCGTCCAAGCCCTATTTGTATCCCATCTTTGTGCGTTTGTGTTTAAGCTAAAAAGAAGAGAAGATGCCATCCAAACAAATGGAAACAAAAGCATAACTCCATCAAACTAATCTCTGGATTCTTTTAACCCATCACTGGCAGGAGCATGGCAGGAGTGGGGCAGGACAGGAATCATCAGCCCTGAGCCACAAGGTCAGGAGGAGGCGATGACAGGAGAGCTCCATGCTCAAACAACACAATAAATGAGATTATTTTTTTCCCCCCTCTCTTTTGTCCATGAGAAAGGAGAAACTTCTCTTTTAAACATCTCCTAGGCAGGATATAAACACACAACCTCAGGGCCATAGGTGCTGCAAATACCCAAGCATCTGCTTGTCTTTGTTGCCATGGGATGTTCCCCTTGGAGGTCTAAACCCCACAGTATTTGCTTCGAGCATACAAGCAGATGAGCCTGTGGATCAACCCAAACTTCCAAGGAAATCTGGCTGAAATGGGTCATGAGGAGTCAGGATTAGGCCCTCATTCCTCCTGGTTACATGCTGGATTTTCACCTTTCATGCTCCTGCAGCACAACTGCCTGCTAAATTTAGAAAGCCTTTTTTAGAAGTTGTTTTATGAACACACACACACACACACACACACACACACACACACACAATAATTACACTGTAAAAACACACACACACACACACACAAAAAAAAACCCTGCAGCTTTAGAAATGCCATTATTGAGGCGTTCCAACTATGTACGACTGGCTCAGTTACTGGCTCGCAGTTGCCATCTGAACATCTATTTTTCCAAGCATTTAAGAAAAGTGATGTGTACATTTTTCATGTGTAATTAGGCAGCGTAATGTGATCTCTTTCTGCAGTCAAGCTGCCATGTGCCGTAGCCTCACTGAATAGCTTCCAGATTTCAACCCAATCTCTTCTGTCTAGACTCTACGTTGCTATTTTTTTTCCTTTTTTTTTTTTTTTTTTTTTTTCCCTTTTTTTTTTTTTTTTTTTTTTCCCTCTTGCCTAGCTTAGAGCAGACTCCAATATAAAATGCCAAAACCAGAAGGTTTTGTCCCTCTTTCTCATAAAGACGTGGGACAGATCTGGGAGGCCCCGCTGAGAGCTGAGTCCCAGACTTTTTCATAAGACATGTGTCGTCTGAATCTGACATTAAAGATTGTGCAGGCATTTCAACAGGTCATGCACACACAGGGGGAAAAAAATGCCCAAAAATATGGTTTTCATTAAGAAAGTGAGTATTTTTAGAGAGGTGTGGTTCAGTTCAGATGAAAAGGGAAGAAAGAAAAATGAAAGCGGCGCAAGAGATCCCCAACTGCAACATTATTTATATTGCTGTTGAAATGCAGTGTGTTCTCTTTATAAAGCTGCTTTTGGGAGTGAAATAATAGAGACCCTGCCAAAACCAGGTGCATATCATGGAGTTTGTTTATAATCCAAGTTAAAGGAGAGCAGATTTATACCAGAAAGAACTCTCCGAGGGGACTTTGGAGTTTAAGTGTCCTGTCTTAATCTATACATTACCTCCTCAACAAAGCAGTTGTCTTGAAGCAAAACATAAAATACAGTTTCAATGAATTCACAGATAATTCCAGGGAATTTTATCTGGTGTGATATAGTTTCAGACTGCTTATTCTGTTCCCAGCTTTTTATTTGACTCTTAAGTTGTTTTATTTCTGCGTCAAGAGAATAAAAAAGATCAGAGAGGGCTCGTTTCCACAGAAAGATGCTTTTGTGCAATATAAGCAAAAAAAAAAAAGCAAGGCTTTCCCAGGCTTGCAATTCCACCACCTTGTCCTGGGATTTGCTGCAGTTTGCACACACTTTTTCGACAGAAAAAGCTCTTGTTTTAGTCCAGAAACAGCTGCACAAATTTCCCTCCACTTTCCTTTTTTAGTTCTTTTTTCTAAATCTTATCTTTTCATCTCTCCTGTTCTAACACCACACTTTATGTTTTCCTTTTGCTCTCAAGAAAATGGCTATTGTCCCACTGAGAACATGTCCTTCTGCCTGCTTTTGTGTGAATGGCAGATTGGTTGGAAAAACAGGAACACTTTCACTCCTTTCTGAAGGGAAGCATACAGTGCTTGCTAAAAATTCCCATGTTTCTGCAGAACCAACTGTTCTTTCCATTAAAAAAACATCCACCTACTTGAGCAAACTTTTCAATACATTAGCCCAGTTTTTCATTATGGTAAACTTTGACATGGTTGAAATGTTTGAAATAATGGTGCAAATATTTTCTCAAATTTGAAAAAAGGGAACGTAAACCAAAAAGCTGCTTGAATCAAAAGAGGGTTCTCCTTGAAATTCCAGATGATGACAGCAGATAGTGCAATCATTTGATCACAGAATCACAGAATGGTTTGAGTTGGAAGGGACCTTAAAGATCATCCATGGGCAGGGACACCTTCCACTATCCCAGGTTGCTCAGAGCCCCATTTAACCTTCTCTTGGTGATTGTGAAATGCTTGTAATTACATTTTAAATAAAATTTAAAAGTATTCTTTTTACATTTAAGTAAAATTTAAAAAAAATTATCTTGTTTTGATACCTAAACTGATCACAGGAAGCGGTTTTCCTCCTTCTGCTTCACAGAATCACACCATCAGCTAGGTTTGAAAAGACCTCTGAAATTATTGAGTCCATTCTAATGTCAAGGACTCATTTCACTAAAATAGGGATTTTCTGAACTGTAAATCAGGCCAGAATTTTGACACAGAGGCTGAGGTGAATGTTTGCAAGCTTCACATCACCACTAACAGCAATTTCACGGAGCATCTCTCCAAG